GCCTCCTGCTCCTCCCAGTCATCCCAGTTCCCCTTTTTCATGTCCTGTCCACCCCCCCTAGTTCCGCAACTTCAAGATCATCTACCGGCGCTACGCGGGGCTTTACTTCTGCATCTGTGTGGATGTCACCGACAACAACCTGGCTTACCTCGAAGCCATCCACAACTTTGTGGAGGTGAGGCGACCACCCCCTGCTCCCCGGCTTCTAATTAACATGGATGCGATAACAGCCGCCCTGTCGCTTATCATGCGGCCGCATCCTGCCTGTTCCTCCCTCCTGCAGGTCCTCAATGAGTATTTCCACAATGTCTGTGAGCTTGACTTGGTCTTCAACTTCTACAAGGTGAGCAAAGGGGGTCTAGAGAGTTCCCTCCCACCCGGGGCGGGTGGGATGGGGGAGGCCCCACTCCACAAAGGGGGGTCCTGGGGGTCCAGGGACAACTCCTCATGCCACTGGGGGCCCTGGCCGCAGGTCTACACAGTGGTGGACGAGATGTTCTTGGCTGGGGAGATCCGGGAGACGAGCCAGACCAAGGTGCTCAAGCAGCTCCTGATGCTGCAGTCACTGGAGTGAGCCGGGACCAAACACCCCCCTCCCCACCCAGCCTTCCTCCTCCTCAGACCCCCCAGGGCATTGGCACAGGGCTCTTGGTGTCATGTGTGTCGCCCTTTCCACATCCCCGTCATTGTGTTGTGAATAAACGTGGCTGTGATGTGCCAGAGCCTCTGCACCTGTTGGGAAGAGGGGAAGACTTGCCTCCATTTCGGCACAAAATGGGTGGCACAAGGGTCCCCCTGGCCCTGCTGGGCAGTGGGGGCTCAGCCGGGACCCCTGGGGCTGGGCCAGCGTGGGGCCAGGAGTCACTGTGTCCCATCTCCAGCCCTCTCCAGCTCCTTTGCCTCTGTCCGTGTCGCCGTCCCCACAGAGGCATGGCCCAGGGTGGCTGGGGACAGGTAGGGTGGCAGAGGGAGCCCCAAGGATGTCTGGGGAGCCCCTTTGAGGGGCTGAGGATGGCTGGGGGAATGCCCAGGGTGGCTGGGGAGAGGTAGGGTGGCAGAGGGACCCACAGGGTGGATGTGGGACCCTGGGGGTTTAGTGGGGACCCTGGGGCTGGCCAAGGGTGGCCCAGAAGGACCCCCAGGGAGCCCCATGGGTGTCACGCAGGGGGTGAGGCTCTGGCGCAAAGGAGCCCTGTGGGTGTCACAGGAGGGTTTATTGTCATGAGGAGGGGCAACATGACACCCCACAGGCCCCCCTCAGTCCTGCCCCAGGCGCTGGATGGCGGGGTTGGGGTACTCGGGGTTCTCGATGGCTCCTGGCCCGAACTTCAGCTCGAGGAAGGCGCGGGCATTGTTGGGCGCCATGGCGGTGAAGCCGGCAAAGGGCATTGGCACC